AAAGACTGAAACACAAGGCCCTAACAGACCAGAAATGGCCCAAATTTCACGATGGTATATAGCACCTCCTCCAGAAAACCTAGCTCGTGTCCCCCCATTCCCTTCTCTCACTCCCATCAAAAAGTTTGCGGCGGCTGCGCCGTTCTTCCCACCAGCGCCGACTGATGCTTCCTTGGAAGCCAGATTCGAATGCGGGGGAGGTGGAAAGGCGACCGACGACGAGGGGCCTCTGCACGCCGCCGCCTCTGCGACCACGATGACATCTTAGTCTCACTCTCACACGGTTCCAGCAGCCGGGGCAACCACATCGCCAGGGCAACCACATCGCCAGGAGGTACATGAGTCCTCCGATTCCATAGTTCATTGGTAGAATATTCAGACTTGTTTGTTGATTCAGATTGTAGGCTCTGGGAGGGATTCAGATTTGTTTGTTGATTGGAAGAAGAAGAAGATGATCCCTGTTACTCCTCAAGAAGATCTGCTCTCTGCTTCCTCTGCTTCAGAAAGTGACGACGACAACGAGGACACCGACATGAGTTCTGGTTCTGTCATGTGAGCTTGTGGGTTTCTCTATTAAGTTCCTTTTGGCGCTCATGATTCTATCCTTTCCTGTGTGCTTTTGACAAATGAATTCTGAAAACTTTGTGATGCATATAATGGACTATGGACATGCTGCTGTTGTTACTGAACGTAAGCGCCGAACTGTTGATGTTATGCTTGATGCAACTCTTGAATTTGTATTTCTATTTATCTGTTGAACTGCTGCAGATCTCTACTATACTTGTTATGTTCGAATTTATATTGAGAATCCTTTTTTTCTACTGAAAATACCCTGTTTTCTGAGAAAAACATGCACATGTATTAGTATGGATGTGTGATATACATGTGCAAATACTGTAGCCGCGAAATGGGTTAGCGGCCGCTATAGCCGGCGATAGCGGCTGTAGCGTTGGCACAGAGCCAGCCGCTAAATGCCTTAGCCCGCGATCTGAAACCTTGATTGTAACTACATTTACAAATGTAGAAGAAAAAGTGGGAGAAATACTGAAGATACTACAGTACAAGGATATTAGTGGTAGCACCGGCGGAGCTCTCGGTAGGGCGAGGCAGGGTGTCCGCCCAACCTTTATTTCCGGCAAACACGCTCGATCGACGGATGACAGGTGCAATAAGTCAATGAAAGGAAGAGTTCTCTTTGATGTTGGGTCGTGACTTGTGAGAAGGCTCCTTATTTGGGTCATGCCCTTGCCTGATGGCTGCACACACGTCACACACATGACGTACCGAACCAGTCATCACAAAGGTACGAACAGGAACAGCAGAACACAAACCACCAGCCCTGGCGCATGCCACGCGCGAACCCCAGCAGGCTAGCGGCTAGCAGCAGGCAGCAGGAGCGCTGGTGCCAGAGGCCAAGGTGGACGGTGAAGACGCACGCCCTGGCGCTAGAGGCTAGCAGCGAGGAAGTCTCACGTGCTGTAGTCTCGGCTGACCTACCTCGAAAAAATTTGGTCCTCCGCCACTGATGAGCGGTAGCATGCTGACTAAACAGCTCAAGAAATTCTAGTCCATTTTACCGGCATCTAAAACAGTAGTATTTGCCTATATCTTTTTTTTCCTGTTTATAACAATAGGAATTGTGAACGTATAGTCTTACCTTGGCTTTAAATATCCTGCGGCCATCAAACCCACTGCATATGTCTCAGTAGAACAACAATACACTACAGAAGAGTACTCTTGTATTATCTACTTAATCTAAAAACCATTCGATCTTCACTAAAACTGCTTTCTGAACTCCATTAATGTCATAACAAAAAGTCATGAGGGCGAACGAACCATGATGTGCTTACCATGGCAAAGAAGATGTCACGATAAGGCAAGCAAGATCTGAATTAGAAAGAACCCATCACGTACTGAAAATTCTTGAGTGTGAGAGCACACCTGCCACACACACGGGTAACGAAGATTGAGATCGACGCACCTGTGATGGCGTCCTCTATGGAGCCGATATTCCGGTCGTTGGACCTCGACGCGACCTTGTACGCCACCTGCTCTTCCAAATGAGATATCCCTCACGCCACCCCGCTGCAAATCGACCGCCCACCTAGCCTGTTACATGTGAAAAAAAGCTATGAGTGTGTCAATTCCTGTAGTATCTCTCAATATACAAGCAGCACTACATGTCTTTGCTTATGAAGTTATAAACACCTTTGTATTCGCTAAAAGATGATCATGATATTTCTATGACAGCTCAAAGTGCTGCCCGGCTGAGTGATGGCTGAGCTTGACCGGCGCGCCTCCAACAGTACCAGCGTCCAGACCTACACCTACCTCAGTGTGCCGGTTATCGGCAGAACCATCTCCCTCTACACGCCTTCCGCGGAAACACCGACGACCAATGGTTCAGATACCGGATCAAGAAGTACTGCTGGTCTCCATCATGTCGCTGCTGGGCTCGTGTTCGGTGCTGCTGGTGGGACAGTGGAAACTGTTTCATATTCAGCACCAACAGAGACATTTTGATGCAGACAAGTATGATGACAGTGGACAGGCAACATGGAGCCAGCAATTTGATGAGCATTTTTTACGGCCGCACTCCACTTTTCCATGTCTCTGCACTTCTCATTCTTGTTCCCACGTCCATATGGAGATCGTGGTTACCGGGTTGGGGTCTCCTACAAAAAAAAGAGTGAAAATGCATGCTACCATGAATACTGTCTTCAGTACAGAAAAGAACAAGCCTAATCCTTGTACATGCTATGGTGTCTTCCCAGGGCAAAGTTTATGTGCGAGCATCCATAACCGAGGTTAAACTGACCTACATAGTTGTCAATCAGCCCTGGGCGCTCTCAACTATAAGCTGAGGCTGCTTGACCAACTACATATTTCTCAGTCTTACAATTGATTGAAGTTTTAATAATATAACCACATTTTAGCCAAAATTCTGAACGGGATCTCAAAGTCCATCTGCTTGAAGCACACATGAAGGCAAAGTAGAACATGAAAAATAAGACACAAGGAATCAGGACAACCCTATCAATTTTGTCCGCATCAAGGACAAGGAGGGTTGCAACGACCAAGATCAGATGCTTTGAAGGCATGCAAGAGCTGTAGGGGTGAAAAGGGATCATGCTCATACCTGGTTTGAGAGTATCACCATCTGCCTGAGCCTTCTTCAACTCTGGTCATGGCCTGATTGAGCCTACTTTTCTTCATCTACATACAAAAGAGAAGAAATGGTTTGTTTACTTCAAGTAGTTGAATGAAAGATTAGAGAAAGGAATGAGGAGGCAGCCTCGATTGTGAAGACCTGTGGCAGGAATGGGGGCGGAGCGTGCTCATCAGTTGTCACGGCCATGCTGGCGGCGTGTGGGGATCCGAGGCGATGGCGGCGTCCTGGTGATCCGAGGCGACGGCGGCGGCGGCGTCCTGCCAGATCAAGGCAATTAAAACTATCACCAGATCATGAGTGTGTAAGACAATATATATGCTGTGTTAAACTGTAATTTTTCATGGCTTGCGAGCAATTCGCAGAACATCCATCGAACATTGCCATGGAGTTAGATATCTCCTACACCGTCAGATTTTTTAAATTTCATACTACCACCTCCAATTGATGATTCAGGCCCTGTTTGATAGCTCTGTATTTTCTAAGTATTTTGGAAATACTACAGTTTTTAGGATTACCATGGTTTTAGGCCCTGTTTGATAACAAAGTATTTTCTAAGTATTTTAAGAATACTGCAGTTTTTAAGATTACCATAGTTTTATTTGCAATGAGTTGTTTGGTTGCCTCTGATAATTGTGGTTTTCAAACTGCAGTATTTGCTAAACTGTAGTTTTTTCTCTGCATAAAAAAAAGAGCCCAAGACCTCTTTTTTTAAAACAGAGCAGCTGGAAAGAAGGGATGGGACGTCCTTATCGATCTTCTTCGCTCGATCTAAAACAGAGCCATCGCTCCCACGCCGCCGCCGTCGCCTTTGGAGATATCTCCCTCGGCAGCCATGGGGAAGGAAAGAGACGAGGATGGAGAGACCAAAGGTGAGTAGACTCTGCCCTTCGCCCTCCCTCTTCGCTCGTCCCACCTCTCCATGGTGATCGCCGGCCCCTTCCTCTGCAGTCTGCACGGCTGTGCCTTTCCTAACTATGGATGTCGTGCAGCTCCGCTCGAACTGTTCGTCTAGACTGCTAGCTGGATCTCTATGCTTATTAATTCAACTCCGCTCGAGCTGTTCGTATAGTCTGCTAGCTGGATCTCAATGCTTGTTAATTGAAGACTGCTCGAGCTGTTCGTCTAGTCTGCTAGCAGTCTTATCCAGGACTTGTATACATGTCTTTAGAATCAGATAGGTTCACTGTCCGACCTTGTATAGAATATGGTTTTGCTAGTTGCTGGTTAGCTGAATATTTGCTCTGGATCAGTCCCATTTTTAAACGATTGCTTTGGATAAGTCCAGTCATGAACTTGTATATGCATGAACAAATGACATACTAGATACTACTGGAGATGCAGGCCTAGAGCCTTGAATTCAAACTCCTCCCAAAGTTGGCTTTTAATGCAAATAAGAAACTCAGCTGCGGGTTTCTCTTGCCTTATTTATGCATAAATTTCAAACTGTAAGCACTGGGAATTGTTTGGTGATGGCACTATTATTTGTTCTCTCAGAAGTTGATTTGTGGAATAAGTCAGAGATTTTTTGGTTTCATGTTGTATCCTTATCAATTTTCCTGATGTTTGTTTTGATTCGAACACTTAAATTGATGCATTTTGTTTTCCATTTGCAGACAAAAAAACACGAGCATCATGGACCACTGCTCAACTTGACCTGCTCGTTTCTATGATGAAAGAGTATGCAGATGCTGCTAAATTTCGTGATCAGAATGTATACGGCTTCGATGATGGCCAACTCATCATCTTCTCGGTGTTTACGCTTCAAAAAATCCCCCCACATTGATGGAGCAACTAGGATGACTTACAGAGGATAGAGACGATCCAAATATCAAGTGAATGTGCCGAGCGTGGCCGCGCGATTCCAGTCCTGGCGCAGCTCTTCGTGCCCCTCGACAGTGACGGATGACTGGCCAACTACGCCACGTGGTGGGTCGCCACCTCCACGTGTAGCTCGGCTGCGCCTCAATGGTGACGCAATGAAGGCCAAGCCTCTCCGTCTGTGTGTAGCTTCACCACCAGATGAGTCACAGGTGAGGCCGTGCCTTGGGCGGTCTTTTTTGTATACACAAGATACCCGTTCGGTTGTTATGCAGGCTGATGGTTAGGGATATCCAGCTAGCTAGCTACAAAAGCTCAACAGAAATAGTATTCAACCGGTCAGCCGCTTGCACTGCTAACGGCTAGGTAGCGTGTTTGAACGCAACGGCTAGGCTAGACAACAATACTGTGTTTTGCGGCAACAACCAAACAGGTCACAGTAATCTCAATACTTCAATATACTTTGGTATATTAAAACTGTGGTATCTTGTACCCACTAACAAAAATACTGTGGTTTTCAATACTTCGATTTTTCTAATAATTTGCTACCAAACATAGCCTTAATTACTTTGAGGCCCTGTTTGATAGCAAAGTATTTTTTAAGTATTCTTAGAATACTGCAGTTTTTTTTACTTACCATGGTTTTATTTACAGTGACCTGTTTGGTTGGCCCTGTTTGATAGCAAAGTATTTTCTAAGTATTTTAAGAATACTACAGTTTTTCCAAATATCATAGTTTTATTTACTGTGACCTGTTTGGTTAGCACTAAATATTGTGTTATTAAAACTAGAGTATTCTCGAAACTGTAGTAATTTCTCTGCATAAAAAAAAGAACCCTGGACCTCTTTTTTCAAAACAGAGCAAGGGAAAGAAACGAGCTAGCTAGGCTGGGTACATACGTACCTTGTGGTGGATGGTTGGTACGTACCTTGCCTGTTCAGTTTTTGCATTCTCCTGTTCTTATGCACGCGTATGGTAAGGTAAGGGCCACCTAGCTAGCTGCCGGGAATAACGCACCAGAAATTGTAAAGAAGCCAGCTAGGCGTGTTTACCCTGCTAACGGTAAGCTATATGCTAGCTAGCTGCATGTGCATGGCAGATAGGTTGAATGCAACAGAAAAAATATTCGAACGGCCAGCTAGCTGCGCTTGTTTGCACTGCTAACACAATGGCTAGACAACAAAATTCACAGTGGTGTGCGACAACAACCAAACAGGTTCTATGTATTGTGAATACTTCAAAATATTGTGTTTTGATGAAACCATGGTATCTCATACCTACTGGCAAAATTACTTCAGTTTTGGATACTTCAGTTTATTTCACCATTTGCTAGTATTTCCAATACTGTGGTAAATTCTCTGTATAAAAAAAGAACCCTTGTCTTCTTCTTTTTTTAAAACAGAGCAAGCGAAAGAAAAGAACCCGTCGCTGGCTATTCTCAACAGACTCGTCTCGCTATCGAGCCATAGCCTCTGCCGCCGCCGCCACCGTCCAAAAGTGTCGACCATTTCCAGAGCCACAGAAAGGCTGGTATCTTGGTCCACATCGAACGGGAACTCGGCATTCTTAAAACAACCTGAAACAATTTGACGTGTCGGTGTAGGATGAAGTATCAAGTTCATCGAAAAGAGGTTTCTTGGGTGCTCTACTTACCACTGGGATCAGGAAATCTTAGCGATAAATTAACATGGTCGGTGACATGCATGTCGCCTTTTAGTGAGAATTCACCCTTCCATAGCATGAAACTGGCAGACTGCCGACCATCTTTAGTCACACTCGAGACCAGGGAGACTGAAATAGGAGGCGCTGGGATAGGCTTGTCTTTCTGGAGGAAACAGTTCTTCAAGAGCTCATTTGCACAAAGTCTTTCAGCTGCCGGAGCCAAACAGATTTCTGTGAAACCTCTTACTTCTGCATCTTCAACCTTGGATAGCACAGCTGGTTTTATACCCTATATAAAAAAGCATTGGAAGAAAATCAGTTGTTTGATAGATAATCTTTCAAAAAGGATGGGTACTTTGTGGACCCCAAAGCACTTACTTCACAAATTTTCTTGTATATCCATGGCTTGCCTTCGCATTCACTGTATGGTTATTCACATGTCACCATTTCAAGCATGCACATCCCAAATGAATATATATCCACCAACTCGTTGTAATTCCCAGTGAAGAGTTCTGGTGCCATAAACTCTAATGTGCCTGCATTTTGATGACACAACTCTTGTTAGTACAAGCCTTCCTAAAAATGTTATTTCTAAGACAAAGTACGCTGTGAGTGTGTCGTATCATTAAGAGTAAATCTACTGTAAACAGAATATATGTATACATTTCACACATCTGTAGCTGTTAGAAAAACACAATTCCACACACCTTCGATACTTCTCGTTTTCCGTTGATGCAAAAATGTCGCCAGACCAAAGTCGCCAATCTTCACTTGTCCATCATGACTGTTTATGAATATGTTGTCACACTTTAAATCCCTATGAATAATGGATGGTTCCTGACTCCGAAGATATTCCAGCCCTGTCAATATCTGTATTGCCCACCCTCTCATAGCCTTCATACCAACTTTATTGTGCTTCTTACGGAACCTGGTTATCATTCCAAATTGCAATGATCAGAATGTACTGAATGAAAGGGCGATAAGAGTGAACTCTATGCGTGGTTAAATTTCAATCAAACTTTCTCCACACAACAACAGACTCCAGCATGGTTGGTTACTAAGAAACCAATTCAATAAAGTACATCAACTTATAAACAGAAAGGGTAATCCATAACAGAATCAGGCAAAGCATTACGAACGAGGCGGACTGGAGTTTATATGCACATGACCTACATGTACGGGAATGTTTTCATTAGCATGCCTAGTCTAGAACATAAAAGGTGCAAGCCCATCCCTTTGCCGTAAGCATTCAAAATAACAAGCCTACTGTTCAACATTTTCTCCAGTAAAATACAGGTTGCCAGGCAGGTCATACTAACTCCACGGGTTACAAAATATACAGGCAATCCAATAATATAAACATCAAGAAGAAATCCTTAACGGGAAAGCAAGAAGAAATCGACCGATCTGGGACAATTCGAAGCAGCAGACCTTAACGGGGTTGAAGCAGCAGCCTTCCCCTCGTGCTCATCATCGCCTCCATGGCCTGCACACAGCCACCACCGTCACTCGGCCTGCTGCTGCTGCTGCTAAAACAACAACAACAGCAACCACCACCAATTAGCCTAGTAAATCCAAAAATCCAATTGTGATGAAAAAACATGTCCACATCATGTGACTGCTGCAAACTGGACCCTTTTTTCGATACGCACATGGCTGCTGCAATACAAGCACTCACAAAAAAGACATCTTGTAGTAGGAGGCAGGGAGGGTTGGAGCAGAGCATCTTCTCCATGGACCTCCTCTCTCTCCCACATGCCCTTGAATTCCTTGACACAATACAAGCAGACATCAGATGTTGGAGATGAAGAAGAAGACAAGGGTAGGGGAGGAGGGATTGGTACCTACCCTGGTCGAGGGGAGTTTCATCTCCATGGCATCGCACGGAGGGAAGCTCGACGATGGCGGGCGTCCTTGGAGGTTGAGGAAGAACCGGTCGTCCTCGAGCAGGACAAATTCATCCAGGAGACAGAGCTGCGCGTGGGGGCTGGGTAGACATCGGAGATGAACCGCCAGAAACCCGGAGTTGGAGGCGACTGAAGCCCTTGCCACCGGGGAGCGGCGAATCCAGCCGGATGGGTGGACGCAGCGGCGCGAGGCGAGCACAGGAGGAGTGTGATGCGCGCCGTCGGAATCAACCGGCCGAGATCTAGATGGGGCGGCGGAGAGAGAGTTGGGTGAGTGGGTGCGGGTGCGTGGAGAGGGCGGCGGTGGTTGGGTGGCGCCCGCGGAGGAGTGGTGAGGGGGCGTGACACCGGCGGCGGCGTATGGAACCCTAGCCCAGGTCCGCAATGAAGGCGGCGCCTCGTCTCATTCCTCGGCGGCGGCGGCTCGTCTCGGATCGGCGGCATTCCAGGGATCCGCGAGCGCGAGGGCGGCGGCGAAGGTATGGATGCGAGTGCGAGGGCAGCGGTGACCTGGAGGCGGCGGCTCCTCTCGTTCCCCGGCGGCGGCGGCGGCTCCTTTCGGGGCTGGGGTGTCGTTTGAGAGATGCAGCAAATCGAGATCTGATGAGCCTCGTTTTCTTACGTGCGGCCTGAGATAGGAAAGAAAACCAGACAAAAAAAACGACGAAAAAAAACCTACGAGAAAAAACCGAACAAAAATGGTGGGACGAGAATAAACCCGAAAGGGATACTACCAATTGAGACATTAGGAGTAGAGATACCAATATAAAAAGATCCAAAGAGGCAGATCTAATTAATTTCGGTCATCGAACTAAGTTAATCCAACGACTTAGACTACTCCAATGGCGAGCGTTAAACATGTTTAATGTGTAATTAATATCATATAAAATATTGCATTAATTATAAATTAACACACAAATAATAACATACCTAATATTCGCATGCAAATAATATATTCCAAAATATTAACGTGCGTTGCACGTGCGCATTTACTAGTACAAATTAAACAACTCAAAGCCAGCATGCAAGAGATTAAAGAAAATGAACCAACACCAGGGCGCATACCAAGGTTACGTGAAGTGAGCAATCAGCTGCATGAGCTCTATCTACGTGAAGAAATAATGCAAAGACAACAGTCCAGAGTAGACTAGCTGCGGGCAGATGATAAAATGTTTGCATCGGTCCGATGGATCCAGATGTTCGGATGATGAGGGCATGCGTGTGATGGCGAGGGACTTTTATGCTGAGCTGTTCACGTTGCAAGGAGCATCTAATATGGAAAGAATCTTAGACAATTTGGTTTGTGTGACGGATAATATGAATAACGAGCTCGGAGCTCCTATTGCTGATGACGAGATCGAGAGAGCCCTCTTCCAGGTGGGGCCTACCAAGGCTCCGGGGCAAGATGGGCTACCGGCACTTTTCTACCAACGACACTGGTCTTTGGTAAAGGAGGAAGTATGTAAGGCTGTGAGGGAGTTCTTGGGTGGAGGGGAGATTCCGGAAGGGTTTAATGACACTATCATAGTCCTGGCCCCGATGACAAAATCATCGAATTTGATGTCTCAATTCAGGCCCATTAGCCTAATGTAATGTTCTTTATAAAATTGCAGCAAAGTGTTGGGGAACACAGTAATTTTAAAAAAAAATCTGCGCACACGCAAGATCATGGTGATGCACAGCAAACGAGAGGGGAGAGTGTTGTCCATGTATCCTCGTAGACCGTAAGCAGAAGTGTTATGACAACGAGGTTGATGTAGTCGTACGTCTTCATGATCGACCGATTCTAGTACCGAAAGTACGGCACCTCCGCGATCTGCACACGTTCGGCTCGGTGACGTCCCACAAACTCACGATCCAACTGAGTGTCGAATGAGAGCTTCGTCAGCACGACGACGTGATGACGGTGATGATGATGCTACCGAAACAGGGCTTCGCCTAAGCACCGCTACGGTATGACCGAGGTGGATTATGGTGGAGGAGGGCACCGCACACGGCTAAGAAATCAATGATCAACTTGTGTCTATGGGGTGCCCCCCTCCCCCGTATATAAAGGAGTGGAGAAGGGGGAGGGCCGGCCCTCTACTATGGCGCGCCCTGGGGAGTCCTACTCCCATCGGGAGTAGGATTCCCCCCTTCTGTTGGGAAACGTAGTAATTTCAAAAAAATTCTACGCACACGCAAGATCATGATGATGCATAGCAACGAGAGAGGAGAGTGTTTGTCTACGTACCCTCGTAGACCGGCAACGGAAGCGTTGACACAAGGTAGAGGAAGTAGTCGTACGTCTTCCCGATCCGACCGATCCAAGTACCGAACGTACGGCACCGCCGAGTTCTACACACGTTCAACTCGGTGACGTCCCTCGAGCTCTGATCCAACAAAGTGTTGAGGGAGAGTTTCGTCAGCACGACGACATGATGACGGTGATGATGTTCTACCGACACAGGGCTTCGCCTAAGCACCGCTACGATATGACCGAGGTGGAATATGGTGGAAGGGGGCACCGCACACGACTAAGGAACGATCATAAAGATCAACTTGTGTGTCTATGCGGTGCCCCCCACCCTCGTATATAAAAGAAGTGGAGGAGGGGAAGAGGGCCGGCCCCTATGGCGCGCCCTGGAGGAGTCCTACTCCCACCGGGAGTAGGATTCCTTCCTTCCCTAGTTGGAGTAGGAGAGGAAGGGAAGGAGGAGTAGGAGAAAAGGAAAGGGGGCCGCACCCCCCAAACCTTCTCCAATTCGGCCTCCTGCCCAAAGGGGGCGCACCAGCCCCTTGTGGGCTGGTGTGCTTCCTTCTTATGGCCCATAAGGCCCATAACTTCTCCCGGGGGGGGTCCGGTAACCTCCCGGTACTCCAGAAAAATGCCTGAACCACTTGGAACCCTTCCGATGTCCAAACATAGTCATCCAATATATCAATCTTTACGTATCGACCATTTCGAGACTCCTCTTCATATCCCCGATCTCATCCGGGACTCTGAACAACCTTCGGTACGTCAAAACACAAAAACTCTTATTACGATCGTCACCGAACTTTAAACGTGCGGGCCCTACGGGTTCGAGAACTATGTAGACATGACCAAGACACGTCTCCGGTCAATAACCAATAGCGGAACCTGGATGCTCATATTGGCTCCCACATATTCTACGAAGATCTTTATCGGTCAAACCGCATAACAACATACGTTGTTCCCTTTGTCATTGGTATGTTACTTGCCCGAGATTCGATCGTCGGTATCTCAATACCTAGTTCAATCTCGTTACCGGCAAGTCTCTTTACTTGTTCCGTAACACATCATCTCGCAACTAACTCATTAGTTGCAATGCTTGCAAGGCTTATAGTGATGTGCATTACCGAGTGGGCCCAGAGATACCTCTCCGACAATTGAAGTGACAAATCCTAATCTCGAAATACGCCAACCCAACAAGAACCTTCGGAGACACCTGTAGAGCACCTTTATAATCACCCAGTTACGTTGTGACGTTTGGTAGCACACGAAGTGTTCCTCCGGTAAACGGGAGTTGCATAATCTCATAGTCATAGGAACATGTATAAGTCATGAAGAAAGCAATAGCAATAAACTAAACGATCAAGTGCTATGCTAACGGAATGGGTCAAGTCAATCACATAATTCTCCTAATGATGTGATCCCGTTAATCAAATGACAACTCTTTGTCTATGGCTAGGAAACATAACCATATTTGATCAACGAGCTAGTCAAGTAGAGGCATACCAGTGACACTCTGTTTGTCTATGTATTCACACATGTATCATGTTTCCGGTTAATACAATTCTAGCATGAATAATAAACATTTATCATGATATAAGGAAATAAATAATAACTTTATTATTGCTCTAGGGCATATTTCCTTCACCTTCCATGTAGTAGGAGTAGGAGAGAAGAAAAGGGAAGAGAGAAGAGAAGGAAGGAGGGGGCGCCGCCCCTCCCCCCTAGTCCAATTCAGACTAGGCCTTGGGGGTCGCGTAGCCTGCTCTAGGCATCTCCTCCCTCTCTCCCGTAAAGCC